AGGAGGAGGAGGAGGAGGAGGAGGAGGAGGAGGAGGAGGAGGAGGAGGAGGGAGGAGGGAGGAGGAGGAGGTGTACCCTGATATCCGCGGCCCCAAGCCGCTTCCCCTGGGGTCGAGTTTTTTGCTCAAGACTCGTTTTCGATGGCCCCCCAGGGCCCGCAAACGGGCCCCGGGGGGCCGACTGCGAGGACAAATCTGTGGGATGAAGATGATCTCGTCGGAGATCTGGGTGCAGATCCCGTCGCCCCAAGTGGAGGCATTGTGGAGGGACCGGGCGCAGGCGCAAGGTGTCGGGGGATCCCGCGCTCGGCGTCGTCGGCGCTGGCTGGGAGGGCGGCAACCGCGCCCGCGCCTGCCCGGCTGGCCGTGGCGCATTTTTCTTTCATGTCAGGTCACGTCAGGTCCGTGCGCCCTGGTCCGGTCAGGTCACGTTTTGGGCATCGCTCGGACTTGTGCAGTTTTCTTCGGCGAGGGCCATCGAGAAGCATTTTGGGTTATCTTGCAAGAACGTATACGCACAAAATCGAACAATGCACAGGGAATGGACGTCCGAGCGATGACGAGAGTTTCCCTCACTTGCCGCCATGAAGGAGCCGGGTCCCGACGGAAACGGGTTCTGATGTTTTTTCGCTTTTCGGGCCCACGAGGCCCTCTACGGGCCTCGGGACCGTCAGAAACCGACAGGATGAAGAGCTGATCCGGGTGGAGGGCCCCAGGGTGTCCCTCTGGACCCGTTTCCTTCATGCTGAACTTGCTGGAGGCATGGGGGCCTTGACAGGGAGGGGGCACGCCGCCGCTGGCCCCCCTCTCCCAGCCTCTCCTTCGGCCCCTCCTCGGGAGGCGTAGGTGGTGGAAGCTGTTGAGGTCCACTGCGCCACCCCGCAGGAGGGGCCTGACGGTCTGGCCTCAGTCACAGGTGTCGCCCGACGTGGGAAACAGGGGCAGAAGAGAGGGATAGAGGAGGGATCCTGCTTTTGACAGTGAGCCCCAACAGGGAGAGCGGGGGTGGCCCGGCTGGCACGAGCACGCGAGTGGCCTGGCGGAAGCGAGGTCTGCCAGCTGATCAGCGAGAAGCATTCAGAATTTCTCGCAGCAGGAAGTTTCGGCGACGGCTATTGCTGTGGACACTCGGTGGCGGTCAGTGCAGCCACATCGGATGACGCACTCCCAGGAATTTCCAGAAAGGTCGACGGCGCAGGGGCAAGTTAGCCCACCGCCTACCTGCTCGAACTTGTCCATGATATCTCTGGGACATTTGAAGGGCTCGTGTGCATTCGCCGCCCGCGAGGGCACTCTGGAAGCGATGGGGCGTACCAGAGCGAATGCACATCAACCCCGCCGCCGAAAACAGAGCTATCCTGATCATCATCATCACCACCACTATCACCACCATTACTAACACCACCATCACCATCACCATCATTACCATCACCATCACCATCACCACCATCATCACCATCATCATCATCATCATCATCATCATCATCATCGTCATCATCATCATCATCATCATCTTCATCTTCATCTTCATCTTCATCCTCATCCTCATCCTCATCCTCATCCTCCTCCTCCTCCTCCTCCTCATCACCATCCTCATCACCATCATCATCATCATCATCATCATCATCATCGTCATCATCATCGTCATCACCATCATCACAATCATCGTCGCCATCATCATCACCACCATCACCGCCATCATCAGTACCATCACCAACCTAGGTCCGTTGTCCCAACCCCATTGTCGCATCCTGCTCCGTGGCCCTGTGGGCTCCACCTTTCCGTGGCTCAAGGCACTAATCAGCGGCCGTTCATGCCCCTCGGATCGCTTGCGTCTTTGGCGGTGGCCACCATCGCAGGGGCCGCCTGGCGATTGGGCAACCTCTCGGTGGAGTCGCCGCTGGCCGCCGACTTCGTGAGCCAGGCCTCCACGTGCGCGCTGGCGGCCGACCTCCTAGGGATACGTGCGCGCGGCGCTCCTCTTCCTCTTCCCGCTCGGCGGCGCCCTGGGCTTCGCACTCGGAGGGAGCTGTCGCTGCGGTCGCGATCGCCATGGTGCTCAGGGCGGGCCAGCGCGTGCTCGTGCAGTGGGAGCGTGGCAGGGCTCCTCAGGCGCGGCTGCTCATCGCCCCCGCGAGCGCCGAGGAGTTCGAGGCGGTGATGGGGAGGAAAGTTCCGCCGGCAGTGGGGGTGGAGTGCCTTTGGAAGGCCGCCACCCCCGACCTGTCCTCACATGCTGCACGCGAAAGGAGTGTACAGCGCGATGGAGCTCGATCGGATGGGCCGTGGGCGCCCCGCTTCGATGACTGGGCGCCAGCTCGACACCGAGGCCGTGCCGTACGGCGACCAGTGGAACCTGTCGCCCGCGTTCTTCCTCGAGTGCTTGGCGTTCGTGACGGGGATCGGCGTCGACAGGATGCTCCAGACGGCCCTCGAGCATTCCGACGAGTGGGGGGAGCCCCCGAGGCCGAGGATCACGGATAGCCAGCCCAGGATCCAGCCAAGAAGGAGGGCCACCAGGAGCCGTCGACATCCCACCACAGGCTTTTGAAGAGATCGGGCGGGGCTATTGAGTTGCCCCCTGAGTTGCATGTGGAGGAGGGCCTTCCCGATCCGCCTCCTGGCCGATGGTACACCGTCGGCGCCACCAAGGACAAGTACCTCGCTCAGATCGTGGACTCCAACGCCATGCTCTCTTTCACGATCTCGGGGATCGGCCTCGCGCCCTTTTGCGGCTACGCGGTGAACTACTCCACCCAGCCCGCGAAGGACATCGCTCGACGCGAGGGTCCTCGGCATCCGCGAGACGAACGAGCAGGGCCGCCACTTGAACTGGCGGGACGCTGTCAGCGAGTCTTCGGAGACGGACTTGCCGAAGTTCCTCATTTCAGGCCCGCGGACCACGTTCTGGGTCTCGTGCTGCATCCGCGACCACGACGTGGCCCCTCGGAGCCGGCACGCCAAGTGGAGGGCCGAGGTGGGCCTCACCGCAGGTGACCAGTCGGTCATCGATCGCGAGTTTTGTTGTCGGCTTCTCCAGCTTGCCGTGGTCTACGACCAGCTGAACATCACAGAGTTAGCTTGCATGGAACTCGTCTCACGGAAGTCGCAGATGTGTGAATACAGACATCGCGACCGCGCCATCGGCGCCACCCAGGGCGACGACCTCCTGGAGGACGCCGACCTCTACCTGAGCCTCGGGAAGACGCGCGGTTTGGTGATGGTATCGCCGTCGCTCCTCTCCTACGTGTCGGACAAGCTGAGGACCGAGGCCGCCATCCTGAAGGATAAGCGGAAGATGTGGGAGGAGCGAACCGAGCAGCAGACCTCGGCAGACAGCAAGGAGGGCAAGGGCGGCCAAGCTGCCCTAGAGCTTGGCCACCCCCAGCCAGGCCGGCGCAAAGTGCGAGGAGTCGAGCCGCCCGCTGGGCGGCAAGTGAGTTCGACCCCTTCACCATGGTCGTGCAGCGGGAGATTCTGCCCGTCCGCTGCGCGCTGCGGCTGCGGCCCTCGTCTCCCCAAGCCTCGGTTCGCTCGCGGCTCCGAGGCGCGGCCGCCGCCGACGGGCTGCCCAGAACGCTTTCGTCAACTCTTGGACGTGGGAGTGCGTGGCTGCCATCAACTGGCCGTGCGGCAAGGAGGGCAGTCCCGACTTCGACGCTTTTTTTCTTTCGCAGCGGGCGGGAGTCCTGGACCTGCGGGGCCGCCTGGCTTCCCTGGGCCCCCCGCCCGCGAGCTCGGCGGCGGCTCTCAGTGGGCTGCGCCGCAATGCCCCGGGCTACCTCGAGGAGCCTGCGAAGCCAGCCAAGTTCGCCGTTGACTCGATTGCCCTGCCGCTGGACGATGTCGAGTGCAAGCCTGGCGACCACGAGGTAGGCGAGGCGAGCGATTTGCGGCGTGACTGGAAGGGTAGATATTCGCGCCCGAAAGAGGAGCAGTCTTTTGTAATTCGCCCGCACTTTGACGAGGCTCTTCGTCGAGACAAATTGGCTTATAGTGACTTTCTGCGGCGCCTCTTCGAGGCTGGGATGATAACCTTCGGAGGGGATGCCGCTTGCGCCATTGCGCCCATCTTCGTCGCAAAGTCCGGCGGGCGGCGCCGCCTGGTCCTGGGCACGAGGAAGGTTAATTCGTATCTCAACGACCCCGCTACGGTGGCGTCTGGAACGGTCTCCGCACCCGCGCTGCCGACGAGCTGGTGGTAGAGTAAGCGGACATCGAGGCGGCCGTCTACCGTGTGGAGGCGCCCGCGGGCTGGCACGAATTCATGATTTTGCCTAGCGTCGCCGCGTCGGACTTGCTGAAGGTCGACCCGACGCTGCCTGTGAGTGGGGTCCGAAGGAACCAGGCTTGCCGTTTTGCCGATGGGCTGGAACTGGTCTCCTTACTTCTGCCAGCGCGTCACGTCGTCCTGGCCCACGTCCTGAAGGCGGGCTTCCACGAGAGGGACGCGGTCAGTGACCTGCACGTGGTGAAGGATGTCACCGTCAGCCCCGCGGTCGCGACCCACGTCGACGGCGCGGCGGTGATCGGCGTTGGCCGCCAGCAGGTGAGGGGGCGCATCGCCGCCGTCGGGCGTGAGTTGGAGGCCAGCGGTCTGCGCTGCAAGGGCGTCGCAGTCACCGCGGAGGAGCAGACCTTCGCAGGCTTGGTCTTCCGGCGGGGGTCGGGCGAGGTCTGCTTGGCCTCAGGCCGTTCGTGGAAGATGCGCCTTGCATTGCTGGAGCTCGCGTCGCAGACGTACGTGTCGGAGCGTGCGGTGTTCCAGCTGGTCGGCCACTGCAAGTCGGCTGCGCTCTTGAGGGGGCCCCTGCTCTCCGTCTTCAGCGCCGCGTGCCGGTGGGCGCGCAAGGCGGGGGGCGACGTTTGGCGCTTGTGGCCCGACGTGGCCTCGGAGCTTCGGGCTGCCGACGCCGGGCGACCCATCGAGCCCGCAGTTGCGAGCGCCGACGCCTCTACTGGCGACGGCGACCCCGCGGGCGCTCTCTTCGGCGGCTTCGGCGTCGCGGAGCGCGCGTGGCCTGCGTGGGCGGTCCGAGCGATGGCGCTATCTCGTAGCAGGAGCTGCGGCAGCGTGCGAGCGCGCTGTCTCGTCCCAGCTGGAGGCCGGACTCGAGCAGGCCAACCGCGTCGTGGACGAGGACGGGCCTTTGCCGGGCACAGGGTGTCTGGAAAAATGCGCTTTCGAAAGCGAGATGGAGAGAGGAGGAGGCGAGCTTTCAGACGCGACGACCGCGGAGCGAGCGACGCGGGGCGACTTCGTGGGCCTCGCCAGCATGGTCTTCCCGCTGGACGCCTGGACCTCCGCCCTCTTTAGACGCTGGGCGCGGCCTGAGAATGTCCTGGGGCTTGAGGGCAGGGGAGTTCCCCTCGGCGTCCGGCGGCAGTTTAGAGACGTCCGTTCGAGAGACAAGATCCAGCTTCTTCTCTGCGAAAATGTGGGCCTCGTGTTGGCGCTAGTAACAGGAAGCGCGTCATCTCCCCTTCTCAATTCGTCATGTCGAGAGTTGCCTGATGTGTCTTTGTTCAACGACTCTACCGCGGCCGTCCGTTGGCTCCCGAGCGAGTGGAATAGCAGCGACAAGGGCTCTTGCATCGTTGTCCCGCCCGTCGAGCGCTCTGAGCTGGATGCCCGCAGCGCCGGCGCAGCCAGGGCCGCCTTTGAGAGGAATCTGCTCGAAGAGGTCGAGCGCCTCGAGCGCCGCGAGTTCGCGTCCAGCGGTGAGCGCGGGCACAGCGGCCGCGGCATCCAGCGCTACTTGGAGGAGGGCGACGCCGACGCGTGGGGCCGCATTTGCTTACGACGGCTCGGAGGACGGGCTTGACGTCGAGAGCTTCCGCGCGCCGAAGGGCAGCCGTGGCGCCGATGGCACCGTCGCGCCTTCGAGCTCGCGCCGCGCCACAGGGGGCAGCTGTGCCCCCGGCGCCGCGTCATCTGCGGACTGCCGGGGGGCCCGCCAAGCATTCCCGAAGGCCGAGAGGGCGAGACGGCGAGCGCTCGACGCCGACGCAAGGTCGAGGCCGCCGAATCTGGGCTGACGCACTTGAACCATGCGCGCTCACAAAGAGTAACTCGAACAAGCTAACATAAGATGATCGCTGTGTTCGTTGCGTGGGGCAACCTCGTGTCTCCCCAGACGATCGCGACGGGTCGCCTCGACCTGCTGCTGGCCCACTACCCGGGCCGCCTGCGCTGGGAGAGGGGAGCTCGGGGAGGCAGGCTTTCGCTGCCGAGGATTCGCGGGGTCGGTGGGTCCCGCCCCGAAGCCAGTAGCGTTGGCTTCGCCGCCGCCCTGGCGATCTTGGGGCGCGATGCCCTGCTTGCCGAGCGACGCGCTGGCCATGGCCCCCGAGGCGCTCGCGGGCCCGCAGCGAGATGCTCGGCCCAGGTGGGCCTTGTTGTAGTGCCTGCGCAAGGTGGGAGCTCGGAGCAAGACTCGAGGCTTCGACGAAGGCGTGGTCCTTCGGAGCGAGCTTTGGCAGACAGAGGGCTCTTCCTTCCTCGACAAGCTCCGCGCCACTCGGCGCCCGCTGGAGCCGCTCTGGAACTTCGCGCCCAAGGTGTCCAAGGGCAAGTTCGCGATGTACCTGGGGGTGGTCGGTTACGACGAGGCCGTCACCCCCTGCCAAGTGAGGCGCGGAGCGGCCTCGCACGCGGTGGCCATCGACCGCGTTCCCCTGGCCGAGGTGCAGAGTATCCTGCGCCGCTCGGGCCAGCAGTCGGTCGCCAGGCGCGCCCAAATGCTCAGGTACCTGTCGCTCTTGAACCGGGTGCCCGACTGGGTGGTTTGCTTTTCCGAGGAGGCCGAGGCGCATTTAGGCATGCTCCTCCCGAGGCAGAACATGCTGAAGGCCCCGAGGGAGCTCCGCGCGAAGCTCTGAAGGCCTTGCGCGAGGTGGCTCGCGCAGGGCGGCTGTGCCCGCGGGTTGGATCTCCTCGCGATCCATTGCAGCGGCGACGTTGGCTTGGCCCGCGACGCCGAAACCTGAGGCAGCCTTTCACCTGTGCGTTCTGTTTCGAGCAGCCCGCAGCGTAGACCTGCCAGTCATCTGCCTGCTGCCTGTCTCTCCGACTGGCCCGCAGGATGCGCAGACCCACCTGCTCCTGCAGCGAAAGGGCGGTCGCTCCTCTCGCTGTCTGTCGCCCTGCGCGTTCGGAAGCGGAGGCATGCGCCGCCCAGTGCACTTTGCATCTTGCGGTCTTGGTTGGTTTCCCTGCTGCGGTAGCCGCTGCCGATGCAAGCGCGTGCCAGCGTCGCCCTTTTCGCATCTTGGGTTTAAGCTGCCAGCCGGCCTTATCAAGAGCATTGCCGAAGGCCTCTCCGGATGCAATAGCGATGGGCAGTTGGGTGATGCGCCGAGGCTCCTTGATCTTCGTAGCAACTTGTCACCTGCTGCATCGACGTTCGAAAAGGAAGTGGTGAATTTCTGAGTCTTTCGACGCTCCGTTTGGCACGGCTCGGGGTGGAGGGCGCGGCATAGATCCGTTGTCCCAAGCCCATTGTCGCATTTTGTTTTCCGTTGCCGTGTGGGCTCCTCCTTTCCGTGGCGAAGGACACCCGCCCGCGTCCACCCTAGCTCGTCATACCACTTTAAGATGAAAAATCCTGTCAGTTTGTGCTCGCATGAATCTTGAATTCGTGCTGGGCGATGCGCCGAGGATCCCCGATCCTCGTAGCAACTTGTCGCCTGCTGCATCGACGTTCGAACAGGAAGTTGTGAATCTCTGAGTATTTCGATGCTCCGTTTGGCCACGGCTCGATGTGGAGGGTGCGGCATTATCATTACCGTCGTCGTCATCATCGTCATCATCATCATCCTCATGACCACCAACATCATCATTAACATCCTCCTCATCATCAGCATCACCAGCACCATCATCACAATCATCATTATCATCATCATCATCACCATCTCCATCATCATCCCCATCATCATTACCAATATCGCCACCATCACCGTCACCATCATCATTCCCATCCTCAACATCATCACCGGCGTCATCATCACAACCATCATCGTCGTCATCATCAACATCGCCATCATCATCACAACCATCATCGTCATCATCAACAACAACAGTATCAACAACATGATGATGATGATGATGATGATGATGATGATGATGATGATGATGATGATGATGATGATGATGATGATGATGATGATGATGATGATGATGATGATGATGATGATGATGATGATGATGATGATGATGATGATGATGATGATGATGATGATGATGATGATGATGATGATGATGATGATGATGATGATGATGATGATGATGATGATGATGATGATGATGATGATGATGATGATGATGATGATGATGATGATGATGATGATGATGATGATGATGATGATGATGATGATGATGATGATGATGATGATGATGATGATGATGATGATGATGATGATGATGATGATGATGATGATGATGGTGATGATGATGATGATGATGATGATGATGATGATGATGCTGATGATGATGATGATGATGATGATGATGATGATGATGATGATGATGATGATGATCATCATCCTCATCATCATCATCATCATCATCGTCATCATCATCCTATCCTTCGTCGCCTTCATCATCGAGGCCACGATCCCGTCCAGGCGCACGATGATCGACAAGAAGGAGCCGAGGCTTATGCAACCCCTCACCCTGTGAAGAATCAGAGCGGACGCCTCCAGAGGATTTTGCATAATGCCTTGCACGACGGCCCAACCCCGTAATAATATAGGTGCCGCCACCACCTCGGACCACATGCTGACCCTCAGGATGAATGGCACGAGCACCTGCGGCATTTGGAACACCTGCAGCAGGCAGCCCGTGGCAGTGCACCCATGTGAGGCACAGCCTCCGATCCCTCCGCGCGGCGATGCAGAGAAGCAACACCACCAACGCCAGGACGCCGAGCATTCGTCTCTGCATCGTTAGCTCCATGCGGAGGGGCGTCGACAAGATCTGACGAACCTCGTGTGGACGAGCAGTGTCTTCAGTGCGGCCATCCAGCAGATCAGCCCGACCGCACGTGAGCACAGTAGGAGCATCGACGCGAGCGTTGCCTGCCGCAGGAAGCACGACCCAATCACTGCCGCGAGCATCAGGACGGGCGGCACGAGCACCTGCGACAACTGGAACGACTCTGGCAGCCGCCCGTGGCACTGCACCCTCGCGCGGCGACGCAGAGCAGCGGCAGCGCCATCGCCAGGACGATCAGCACGAGCCTCTCCGTCGTCGGGTCCGTGCGGAGGGGCACCGGCGAGCTGACGGACGTTTTGCAGGCGAACCGTCACACCACTGTGGGTACCCATTGTGTCGGGACGATCACACAATGCACGTTCACCAGGAGCATCGGCACGAGCATCACCACCTCCCGTGGGAGGCAACCAACATGCCGACAGCTGAGATGAGGGGCCCGATCGAAAGGGACACGAGGGACGTCCTTAGGCGAGTGGCCTCGGGCGGGAAGCGCTGCCGCCTGGCGCATGCCCGCTTCCAGGCCGCCGCTGAATGCCTTGGCCGACAGGGCCAGGCCCACCAGAAGAGCTGAGGCCGATGCCGTTCGGCTCCGTCCTCGCCAGCTCGCCGACGACGACGGTCACCCAACTCACCACAAGCGCCACCCTGAACCTGGCGCTGCGGCGGATTCCGTTCGGGGCCTTCTCGCCGATGACGTCGGGCACCAGCTCCACGCTCGGGCTCCTCGCCGAACCTGGCGGCATGGAGGTCGATCACGCTCGGCACCATTCTCGCCAATTTGCCGAGGACGAGAGTAGTGGTCGTGGCTCAAGACTAGCCCGCTCGGCCTGTGCGGGTGTCATCGAGTCAGCTGGCTTGCCTGGCCTCGCGCACCGTGCTTCGCGAAGAGCGACGCGCGATTACTTTTCGCGCCCTCGCGCCGTCGTGCTGCCCCACTGGAGAAAGGGCAGCCGCCATGGCCCAGATCGCGACGCGCGAAGCGCGGCTGTCTTCGCGCCCCCTCGGGTGGCGTGGAGCCATCGCTCGTTCCCTCTCGCCTCGGGGGCTTCGCTTGGCCCCGCCCCCGCGCGCCCCGAGCACGGGCGCTGGCGGCGGTCGCGCCGTGCTCGACAAGGCTGGATGGAGGAGCCGCCCGATGCGAGCAGTCGCAGGCGACTCCGGCGGGAGCGCCCCGAACGGGATCGGCCGCGGCGCTGAGTTCGGGGCGGCGCTTGTTGAACAGTTGGCGCCGCCAAGTCACGCCCACCCAGCCCAAGCCTTCGCCGCTTTGCCCTGCGTTCCCAGTGGGGAGACGCTCGCCGCAACATTTTTGTCCGCAGCGCGAGCGGTCGCTACTACGTCCAGGCGAAAGCGAGGCGCGCCGCACTACATCACACCGGTGCAGGTGGGCGGCCGCGGAGGCGGAGAGAGGGAGGGAGGCTCCGTCCGCAGAGAGTCTGCGGCGTGAGGAGCGCGCAGGCGCCCCCAGGCAGCGGAAAGCGGTGTAAGCCCAGTCAGTGCGTCTCAGTGCTGAACGGGGGCAGCTCTGGGGCTGTCGCGAGGTAAGCCATCGTCGAACGGAGGCGTTCCCCGCAACGTGGAGCAGCAGCAATGGAACCCGTGCACACCCAACCCGAAATTTGGTACTTCGAGTTGGGTGGGGCTGGTCCGACAGGTAGTCAGATAATGCAGGGAGCCAACATATCTGCGGCTGGTGATGATATGATGATGCTGCTGCTGCTGCTACTCCTGATTCAGCGGATGATGATGACAATGATGCTGATGGTGATGCTGATGATGATGCTGCTGCTGC